GGGTTGCTGGGATGGAGGTATAAAGTTCATGTGTTAGTCTTCATATTGTTCCCTTTGTCCTTATGGAGCCCCATGGATCCCAATCTGTACACATGGCCTTAAAGGAGAACTATGAGGTGAGTGATTTTCACCCAACCTCATAGTTCAAGCCGACATGTGACATTGAAACTGTCACAGGTCGGCTCTATAGATCAGGAAGTGAGCGAACGCATACCGTCGCTCGCTCACTTTCCAATCATCTCCCTGCAGAGAGTGGTGACTGTCAGTCACTGCTCCCCGCAGGGATTCCCCCTCTCCGATCCCCCAGCGCTAAGCGGAGAAATGTATGGGGGAGGGGGCGGGCACAGCTGGCTCTGCCTCTAGATAGGCAGAGCCAGCTGTCACTCACGCAACTGGGTGTATCTTGACAGCATTGTCGGGATCCGTCCCAGCTGCGGCAACTTCTTCCCACTGGACCAGCGCTGACTCGCCGCTGCTCTCCCGCGCCGCTCGCCGCTGCTCTCCCGCACCGAAGGTAAGTCACCCTGCAGCGCCGTAGGGCGGCCGCCTGACTTGCCTTGCGGTAGCGCCGGGCCTGGTCACTGGAGGACGTTAGAACATGTCCTCCCGTGACCCTTAAGAGAACTATGGGATCAAAAGGTTACCCCATAGTTCTCTTTTAAGATTAAGCCTCTCCATTTCCCAGTTCTAAGCTTACCTCCTGTCATTCAACTGTCAAATGCTAGAACTCCAATAAGACAGTAAAGGCTCTGCCAATAGCAACATTTATGACAGGGGGGTGGGCCTTGTTTGGGGGTCAAAGTTCAATGTAGAACCTAGACCTAAGATCCAAGGATCATCATGAAGACCTACAGGGTTACTTCCAGGCACCACAAAGCTCTACAGTTCAGCTCTGTTGAGACAAAATATTTTTGGTTATATCAGGTTCAGGCCCACAAGAAAGCACCAGGTTCTGATACGTATGCCATTGTTTTCATCAAGCCACTCTAGAATTATCTAAATCTGACACATAGAATGCAGGAAAATTCTTGATATCTCAGGAGCCATAAGAACCTGCTGTGTCATTGATTTCCATTTCAGTCCCCGAGAGGCATCATCAGCTGGAATATAGGAATAAGTACATTGTTAGTCTTAATATAGACATTATAATAATAAAATTCACTTTTATTCTTGACTTTTTTAAATTTATTATTTATGAAGCAAAACAGGCCATGGTGGTACTCAACACGGTGTTGTCTGTGGGTGATCCAGTGTCGGGTTTGGACGGTCGTCGTGCTGCGGGACTTTTTTTATTTATATATTTAAAAATATTCAAAAATTGACTCTTTGTTTTTTTTTTCAATTAAAGAATTTGTTCTTAAAGTGTGGTTTATATATTTACATAGAATTTTAACCCTTTAGTAAATGGGTAGGGGTACAAGTACCCCTTGCTCATCCACAAGGGGTGGGGCGGCATCAGGGTGGCCCCTTAATTAAAAGGGTACCCCAATGCAAATAAGCCCCCTTGCCCGCAGACCCCTACAACCACCAGGTCAGGGTTGTGGGGAAGAGGCTCTTGTCCCCATCGGCATGGAGACACCCGCCCAATACAGAGGGCACATGGGCGCCTGGTAACGGGGGGGGGGCGCACGATCCCCCCCCCCCCCCCTTTCCTGCCCTGCCGGGCCTGTGCTCCGCTCAAGGGTCTTGCAGGAATGTTAGGGGGGACCCCATTGTTTTTTCCCCATTTTTGGGGGGCTGAGGTTCCCCCTTAAAAATCCTATCAGACCTAAAGGGTCTGGTATGAATTAGGGGGGGAACCTCACGCTTTTTTTTCCTCTTCTGCAGACTGTTAAAAAAATGTTTAAAAAAAAATTGTCACTTTGCTGCAACGAAATTTCGTCCAACAAACAAAATTTCATCCAGACTATCGCTAACGAAATTTCGGAATCAGAATGTGTGTTGTAAAGTAGCCACCGCTCCAAGCTCACACCCCTGATAGACTACAATCTTACAGAGGTGTCCCCAGGCTGGGTGTCATCTGCTGGGACGTCATTACGCACATAATGATGTCACGTGCACTTAACTGCCGGCTGCCATCTCGGTGATGGACACCTGCAGAGAGAGGAGGGGATTTACATCCCGTGGGATAAGGCATGCTGCCAGGTACTCACCTCTCTTGTTCAGCTTTTCCCAGGGGGTTATACGAAAATGTCTGTGACTCATTTTGGTGTCACCCCCTTTGATGGTGTCAACTGGTTGACTCACTTTGGTGTCACCCCCTCTGATGGTGTCACCTGGTGTGGGCCTCCGGCACCCACCTTGTGACACCACTGCAATCTCACATTTAGTTTACTCATTTGTATTGAGATTGCAGTCCATCCCGGGGGGGGGAGCTGGGAGCGGTGACTACTTTACAACACACACAGGGACCATGGGGAACAAAAGTAGCCCCCCTCCAGAAGGAAGGACAGTGTCAACACCAATTCAGAGATGATTGGAGGATCTACAGCCGAGTGATACACAAATAAGATACATTTTTGTTCATAGTTAAGGGACCTGAATGCATTTTTAAGATTTGACTCCGGAGCTTAGTGTTTCTTTAATCTTCTTTGTGGCCTTGGCTTCACTTTGTTACTCGGAGCCTGATGTCTTCAGGACTAAGCACCCTGTCCAGTGAGATTTCCCTTTATGACCAATAAGGAGACTTTCTGGACAAGTGAAAGGCAGTGTGACATTTAACTTGAATCAGGTTGGTTAAAGAAAACCTAAACCCAAGAAAAAAATATATATATATTGCAGTTTGCCCATCCTTAGATGTAATGGCTGCATTGATTTTTTTTTCAGGCAAATTACATTTTCTGCAAGCACAGAAACATGTTGATCCTGCCAGAAATATAGCATCCTTGTAATGTCTTGAACTGAAATCACATGATCATAGGAATGTTATCTTCCATCTAAGCTATCTTATGTGCAGTGGCATAGCCATAGCAGTCCAGACAGGGGCCTGGGGGTGGAAGGGGGACAACATTAGGGTGTTGAGGTAAATTAAACATATGGCATGTGATGATAACACAGAACTGTATCATCAAGGGTTGGAGTGGTTGCAGTTGACAACAACTCCCCTGTAAAGTCTATAGTGCAGAGACAATTTCAGATGCACAAGAGGAGTCTTTGGGACCTTGGCATTGTTACTCACAGCTCAGAGAGAGGTCATCAGGGGGGCCCCATCACATTTTTGTATGGGGCCCCATGATCTGTAGTTACAGACTTGCTTCTTTAAACTACTAATTTTCCACCTCTTATCTAATGGGGATGAAGAGACAAAGCAGACTAGAGTGACAACCATGGTTCCCTCTATAGATACAGAAGTGGGGCGAGCATTGTCACCCTAGGATAGGGGATCACCAGGTGAAAACACAGGGTGGAAAAGCCTGAAAAAGGAAAACGAATGCAGCCACCACATCTAAGGACTGATAAGTATGGCAAGTATTTGGTTAAGGGTATAAATATGCTTAAAGCCCATAGTAACAAGATGATCTTTTTTCAAAATGGCACAAAGGGTTTTATACTTAAGTTAAGACTAGGCATCGTGTGTACTCAGCTCTTTGGCAGGACTGACAGGATTGCTATCAAGATGGAGTGACTTTGTAATTCACAGAAGCTCATCAATAGACATAACTGGTGGGTATAACAGGTAGCAAAGGCATTTTGATAAAATTAGATTGTACATAAATACTTGTTTTGAAGTCTCATTCTCACATGCACTCTACAAGGTCAATGTATCAATGTTTTCACCCAAGACACATACAAATTTCACCCAAGATACATACATAAGATCAATACCACATAAAAGTAACGTAGTTTATAGATGTGTCCGCTGCACTCCTTTCAGCGTCTGCAACCAGTGATGAATATGGTGCTCGGATGGTGCCATGTATGTTCAAGCTTGAGAAAGTAGAAGCTCACCAGCACTCCGAAGATATCATTTCAAATCGTAGTGTTCATTTATTGATATATAGTTTCACATATATCAGAATGCCAATGTTTCGGGTGCCACGCAGGGTCCCTTCATAATGACCATTGCCTAATGTCGCCCTGATGGAGGGACCCTGCGTGCCCCCAAAACGTTGGCATTCTGATATATGTGACGCTATATATCAATAAATGAACACTATGATCTGAAATTATATCTTTGGAGTGCTGGTGATATTCTACCTTGTCAATATCACATAAGACTCCATTATAAAATGTGTGAACCTTGGGTGAAAACATTGATGACTAGGCCCCTTAATGCAGGGGTGCCCACAATTTTTGGTGTTAACATCTACTTTTCAAATGACGAGCTACATGAGGTCTACCAACGAAAAAAAAAACCCTCCCTCGCTCTCTCTCTTTCCTGGCTGTCTCTCCTTGTTTTCTCTCCCAGCTGTCTCTCCTTGTTTTCTCTCCTGGCTGTCTCTCTTCACTCTCTTGACTGTCTCTCCTTGCTCTCTCTCCTGGCTGTCTCTCCTTGCTCTCTCTCCTGACTGTCTCTCCTTGCTCTCTCTCTCCTTTCTGTCTCTCCCCGCTCTCTCTCCTGGCTCACCTTGCTGTATTTTGCAAACAGTGCAGTGCAACAGGCTGTGTAAACTAATATTCTTTGATGTAATACATAGCACTTCATCCACCAATATCCACCAGAAAGATGTCAGGGAGCTTGGCTCAGCAGACTCAGGCTAATATGTAATCATGTGTGCACAGCTAAATAAATATACCAAAATGGAATAAAGGGGCCGCCATTCACACCCTTCCTGATCTACCAGCATCAGCTTTGAGAGCTACTGGTAGATCACCATCTACCTAATGGGCACCCCTGCCTTAATGAATAGACAAACTCATGTGTTGCACTTTAAAAGTCAGATCCGTGGAAGCTTATGGCATAAGGACCTGTGCTCAGACCTTTTACATTCCCAGCAACACTCTTCTATAAAACCAAAAAATAAACTCTAATGCTACTATACTATGTTACCAAAATGAGCTCAACGGCTGATTGTTTCCACTTGGCTTCTTGACTTGGGCTCAGAGTTTCTTCCATTGACCTGGCCGTTGGTTCCACGATGTAGGATTCTCAGGAAATGTTCTCTTAGTTTGTTTGTTCTGTAGATCAGGTAAATGGAATGAAGGGTTGGAAAAGCATTCCAAAAAATAAAGAGCGCTATTACGTCTAGGGATTTGTAGTAGTGCAAGACCGTCACATTGGTGCCCACCAGTAATACAAAGCAAAGAAGGCAAAAAGACATGAACTTGATAGCTTCGTAGTAAGTATCCAGATTAGCTGTCACGTTGGCGTTAGATTTCATTTGCCTCATGTGAAGGAACAGGGAGGTGATGAGAAGAATTGTTGAGCTGGAATATATAATGAATGGAAAACTATTTCCCATCGCTACAAAAATGTACACATGGGTCAGATATTCAGTCTCATTTATGGCGTGACCTTGCAGCTCCTTGGCCTGATTTACTTTGCTATCAACCCACAAAAATAGGGAAATAAAGCAAATGGAGAGCAGAACCGAAACCACAATCAGACGCACAACTTGTTGCGATAGAGTGGCCTTCAGACGCAAGAAGAGAGCGGTGTGGAAATTGGCAATTTTTAGGCAGAAGGTGACGGAAAACACAGTCGTCAGCCAAATGTTGGAAAGGTTGGAGGCGTTGGACATCAGGTACAGAAATAATATGGCAGGTACAGGAAATACATGTCGAAAGAAAAGAGACAAAAACGCATCAAACAACGAGAAAACCTGGAGGAACATTCTTACCAGCCCAAGGGAGAGCAAAATTTGGTCAACGGGACTCAAAGGTTGTCCTTTCAGATAGTCAACAATATGCACGGTTATGATGAATGATTGAGTCGTCATTCCCACCATGAAGGAAATTATGGCTGCAGCAAGATTTAGATAGTGCATGTTGCCTGCTGTACTCATAAACCTGGCCACCTCTCCAGCAATGAAAGGTATCGCTCTAATGATAGGTTTACTAAGCAATCTAAGGATCTATGAACTTGGTTATTTGAATGAATAATGCAAATTGTAGCGCAAAAGTGGCTGTTAAGCTGAAGCTATAAAGCTCCTGAAACTGATTTGAATGTCCTCACCGCAGAGACAACGTGTGCTGTACATTTTCTCTGACTGTATTTGCATCAAACCTCTACATTTTGGTTTGCAGTTACAAGAAACATAGAGACAACGTGAAAAAAACTACATGAACAAGGATGACCTGTCTAAAAATACAGAATTAAAATCTGAGGTTTGTGATGGAATGAGACATGTGGGGATATCTGTCAATTTCGTTACATTGCAAAACAAAACCTGCTCCAACCATGTCTTTATTGTGCATCTGTTTGAAGAAAAAAACTATCTCCTCCGCAAGGGATTATAGCTTGTTGCCAGTCCCCAAGCCCTGTCATAGAAGTCATTGTATCCTTGTACTGCAATTATGATGTCCATCAAGCTTAAAAAGTAGATTAGAATAAATAAACAGTGCTACAATCAGGGGCGTAACACGAAATCACAGGGCCCCATTGCGAAATTTTGTATGGGGCCCTGTGATTTCTAGTTAAGCCCCTTGCAGTGTGCCCACCTGACATCTGAAACAGCCCAACTGAGAGTCACCCTGCAGAGCCCACCATAGACTGTCTATGGTGGGTTCTGCAAGGTCTCAGGTCGGTTGGTCACACCCCTGCATATCTCTGACCTGTACACCTCCTCCTCCACAGTCGCTGGGAGGCCCCACCTCCGCCATCACCATGCCCCGCCTCCTCTTCCATCGCTTGCACCTGCCTTCTCCTCCACTGCAGACGTGGGGCCCGGCCTCCTCCATCCCCGGACCCCGCCGCCTCCTCCATTGCCGGGCCCTGATTCCTCCTCCACTGCCAACGCAGGGCCCAGCCTCCTCTGTCGCTGAGTCAGCAGCGACTGTGTGGAGGAACATGCCGCTGCACAGATTACGGACAGGTTGTCAGTGATCTGAACAGCGGCACGTTCCTCCTCACGGCCGCCAGTGACAGCCTCAGCCTGAGATGCCATAGCGACCCAGGCGACCCGCATGGCGACCCCTTTGTTCCTAGTCCTGGCCGGGCCCCCCTGTGCCCCGGGCTCCATAGCGGCCGCCTGGGTCGTTATGGCGATTGTTTCGCCGCTGACTACAAAGTAAGGCTGTATATCTGCTGTAAATGAGCCGGTCTAGATGCACAGTTGCCCAAATGGACCAAAGCATGATTTCCATGGCTCCACCCACTCTTCTAAAATGAGGAATAATTCTCTTATTTTTTAGATTTGTGATATAATGAGACATACAGATACTTTCTGGTCTTAGAAGGGTTCTCTGCACTTTGAACTAGTTCAGAGGTGGCTCTTTAGCTCCCTATGGTCCACCACACAATAACCTGTGGTATTACATATATATTTTTTAGTCCTTAAGCACTACTCTTCTGTCCATTGATTCCATGCTCTGCACTGATGATGGTGATGATCTACTTTTTATTTGTGTTATTATTTTCACTCCCACAAGGAAGGAGAGTGTGGGTCTTTGGGCCTGCCCTGAAGTCTAGGGGGGAGGATAAGTTAGCCATGAGGTTTCTTTCTCCTTAGAACCGGTTGGGGGGTCTATCTTCGGCAGAGCCCACCCGACTTAGTGCTCGGTGGCCGGCTTTGGCTGGCCATGAGGAATTGGTCTGCCTGGTTTTTCGACCAGGTGGACACGAGTGAGCTTTGTAGTGTGCTAGCGTGCTTCATTTTGTCTAAAACCCATTCCCTTCCTGGGTCTAGCTTCTGTGCAGTGGTTCTGTAATTGGTCTTCCTATAGCTCCATACTCTGGACACCACTGCCTCTGAGGACTTCCATTGCTTTTGGCACAAGGTCTATGACAGGTCTGCTCCCCCTAATGACTATCACTGTATCTACATCTATAACATAATAACATCATTCACTGTTCAGAATCCCTTTGGATTTTGGAATTTGTGGTACACACTACTTGTGCCTACTATGCCTACCACTGGTATTTCACCCCAAGGTTCCTGCCATCAATAAGGCCAAAATGTAGTAATATTTTAGTAACCTTGGTATGATTTTTTGGGTAAGTGGCTCTCACCGCTTCTCACGCTTACACTGCTTCTGGTCATGTTCCTACTAAACATGCCACGTTCCCACCACACCCCACCCTAATGTACTGAAATACATTTTCTTTCCAGAAAGGTGAACACATAAGGGGCATTTAGGACTGCTAGGAGCTCCATCCGGGGTTTCTAATTTCCCCAGATTGCATTCCAATTATTGTTCCCATACTTTGGCCCCTAGGGCTGCCAGCATTAAAACTAGGATTCTAGGTTTGCATATATTACACTACATATTCATGCCTGCCAACCTTGTCAAAGTTATCCCGCACTCTACTGCTGAAAATGTCACTTATTTGAATTTTGGAAGAATGTCTTTCTTGGCACAATATGGCTGTTAAAGTGTGCTATGTGCCAATACTCATTTCTTTTCCTTCCAACAACCCCAACACACTTCCCAGTGTACCTGTGTTGCACTGCACCACAATGGAAATTCTGTATGCATGATTTTTGGTCTGTTGTGGTGCATTAGGCAAATTAATGAATGGGTTGTCTTAAAGCAGTGGTTCTCAACCTCCTGTGTAACCTCAGGACCCACATTTGTCCTTGGCCATTAAGTCGCGACCCAAGTCGCACAGGCATTCTGGTGCAGGCGTACGAAATGTGGGCGGAGGTGAGTTTGGGGTACCATTCAAATGATTGGCTACGCAACAGACCTCCCAAACAAGAATGCACAGTAGGTGCGATTGCATGGTACAGTGTGTTAATTGCAGGGTACAATGAGATTAACACATTGTTCTAGTGTGAACGGGCCCTCAAAAACACTGACAGACACACAACCCCAGATACAATCTTACACACATATACACTCCAAAAAATATATTTTATTTTTTTCTGATACACTCAGTATCCCTTCCTTACGAGTGGATCCTCAGCCTGGGTCTAGTGCGGGCTGCTGTGCTGTGACAGAGCTCCATCCATATGTGCATTACTTGTACAGCTCCCTTGTGTGCCCTGTAGAGGTGGCGGGAGCCAGAATGTGATGTCACTCCGGTCCAGGCACCTCTACAGGGCACATGAAGGAGCTGTAAGCTATGCATGTATGGATAAAGCGACCTTGCTGCCATACCCCCAGCCCACCCCACCTCAAGCTGACACTCGGCGCCGAGCAGCATATTTTGAATGGTGGCTTGGCCCGAGAGCTGACAGTACTGCGCTAGGGGGTAGCTGAGGAGCCTCTCACCTAGAAAAGTGGAAGGCATGCTGTGACCCACTGAACACGGGGTTGCGGCCCACTTTTGGTTCCCACCAGTTGAGAACCAAGGTTTTAAAGTATAATTAAACCTAAAAACAAAATGTATTATATTACAGTATGCCAGTGGTAAGATGAGGTGACTACATGCATTATCTTTTTTTGTGTTGGCTTCTGTTCCTTTATTTTCACCTGGAAATCTGGGCAGTAACATGCTTCCTTTCTTAGGGTCGCTCCACACTATGGAGGAGCAATGGAGCTACCCTTGGACAGCACCACTGTCACCCTGTGGAGAGTATAGTGTTACATGGTCTAACAAATAATGATGGACTGGACAAATAAATTAAATCTAAACTCCAGCTAACACTTTTTAAGCAGTTGCAGCCTAAACCATTAGCTTAGAGCATTGTAAGCACCCCTGTCAGTGTTAAATGGTCCTCAGCTCCATCTAGGGGCCCAATTAGGGTTTAGACCAATGTCTAGTAGGATGTAGTTCATGGTTGTGCAGCAGCTGGTGCTCTCCTCTCCCTCTCTGGAATGTGGTCGGGCCCTCGAAGTCCTCAGGGATAATGTAGGACCAGCAGTGGAAGCTTGCCCAGCATTGCAAGTGATGAGTTGACATCTCCAAGGAGGTGGCTACATGGTCAGAAAAGAGGAGCAACTTCCATCAGGTAGGAAGCATCCAGGACTATGGAGTAACATAAGGATTACTTCATGGTTTGTGGTTGAAGTGCCTGCTTCTCCCTCAATGCCCTTAAGTCCCAGAGTGTTTTTTTTTTTTTATTTCACAGATGTCTCAGACTCATTATACATTGCAGTATACAATAAAATAAAATATATCATTTCTGGGACAGGTTTGGTAGCAGATTTGTATATCTTTATTTCCCAGGTTGTTTTTGTGGAAGAAATAGTGAAACATAAAAAAATGCATTTTCCTGTACTTTTCCAAACACAACCTTCACACAATTTGCACACCTCCACATATTTACCCCAAAATGTAAGCCTCAAAATTAAATTAAAATGTAACATTGGTGCAATATCTGTAATAAAATAAGTCAAGGCAACAGGACTTGTTGTATTTTTCTTGAAGATGTTTCACTGGACATCCGACCCGCTTTCTCAATTCAGAATTGAATTGAATTCAGAACTTCTGAATTGAGGAAGCTAATCGGATGGTCAGTGAAACGTCTTCAAGAAAAATACAGCAAGTCCAGTTGCCTTGACTTATTTTATTACAGATATACCATGACCTGGATGAATGAGAACCTTCACAGACATATTGGTGCAATGTTCATGTAACATAGTGGAATGGTAAATCTTAAAGTGAGCATTTGGATTTTACTTTAGGGGAGTTTTATTTCCCTTACCATGCTACATTGCAACACACGCAGGGGAAAAAAACGGTTTGCCTAAATTGGTAGCAAAACAGTATGACACGATCAAGTTGGGTTGGTGAGGGCACAAATTAGCTCAATGGTGACTTTTTCACAGGTTTGCACTCACTAAAAATCCACATGGCTTTACATTTATGTGCTGTACATGATCATCTGATGGT